CTCTTCTCCTTTTGCTTTCAATCTTTCCCAGCATCAGGGTCTTTTCCAAAGAGTCCTCTCCTCGCATTAGGTGACCAAAGTACTTTTTATACTGCCTATCATTTCCAAAGTATATATGAAAAACAACAGGTTTAACGATTAAGAAAGAGTTTTGCTGTACAGAAGTGGTTAGTGAGGAAAGAGCTGGGTACTACTTCCTGATAAGGTTTCTGCATTCCACAGCTTCCCTATTCTAAAGTTATTTTTCTCCAGGAATAGCAGTTTTTAAACTGCTATTTTCTAACATATCTACTGTGCATAACTCACAGGCTTATTGAGTGTCTTTTCAGGATTCTTTGAATATACAGCAAGGTCAAGCAGATATATCCTATGTGGAATTCTAGGGTTTAGAGTACTTTCACACATAAAGAGCCCTTGCTTAGAATATTTTCGTATATTATAAGTGCCTCTTCACTGTAGCTCTCAGAAAAATACAAATAAGTTACAACTTGAGTTCCATATTGAATGAAACTTTCTAGCTTTCTAGTTCTTTGGGAGAAAAATGGCAAATATCCAGTTTAATCTGAAAGCACTGCTAACTTCTTGGGCTTGGCTTCCTAGCATGGAAGGTAGAAGATGACTCTCTTACTTATTTAGCATTACTGCTTCCTACTGTACTGGCTACCAATGTTTGTAAAGAGACGATGGCTTTGAGGTTGTATTAGGAAACAGAGAAATGACATCACAAAAGAGATGGGCTAATATTTGGCTTAAGAAACAAATGAGGATCTGCCATGATTATAGCCATGCAGAGTTTGTAAAAAGGGGGAAATACATAAAGGAGGATAAAGAGAAAATGAGATATTCTGCAATATGTACATATTAAAAAAATCAGAACATACCTCTATTTCAAAACTGAAAACAAAATAAACTAACATAACAAATACTTAACATCACAAATCTAGATATAACAAGGTGCAGTGTTTTCTATGCATATGTGGGCAAGGAGTAAATTCAGTGAACATAGCAGAAATTATATCTAAGCAAGCATACTTACATGGAATAGGACTGTAAGACAATTAATAGGACTGAATAGATATGCTACGAGGGTTTAGTGATTTCTCAGACACTTGAGTTATATTGAATAATAAGATGAGTCTCATTTTGGCCCTTTTTTGTAAAAAAAAAAAAAGACATCTCAATAATACATAAGTTCAGTCCCAGTAATCACTGAGTTCAAGTGGAGCCCATGACAATAATGTTACTTCAGATTTGGAATCTTATGTTGATGAAGAAAGCAAAGAACAAGGCACATGAAAGGTAAAATTAGGTTGGTTAGCCAGGTAAGGATTTTTACCATAAATAAGTGGAAATACTAAAGCAGGTTGACTAAAATGTCTTGCTATGGTAGAATACTTTTTAAAAGAAATATTGTTTTAAAAGTAACAATTTTCTGAACACATACAGTATGTTTTGATTTGTTGTGGTATTGTGTTGTAAACCAAGTCAATTGACTATGACTGGACATTCATGCCACTAAGTGATCTCTCCCCAATTTGGTTTTAATTGATTTTGGTTGCCTAATGTAATAGACAAAATTATACCCAGGTTAAAATCAAACTTTTTGATAGAATTCAAACAGTTTGGTTTTAACAGATGGAATATATGTTTTAAAAATTGCAGAATTTACAATCATTAGCTTGTCTCTTCCTACCAGGTACCTGTACCTGATAGGACCAAAGGTATATCTCTAAAAGGTCTCTATTACTCCATAGAACAGTGTACTGTAAGTCCTTGAAAGCTTGCAATTGTTCTATAAAACTGCAGTTTGCTTAATGAAATGTTTTGCCTCTATGGGTTTCTAATTTCTCAATTTTATCAAGAAGATATTATGTTATTAGTGCTTCTGTGACAATTTCCCTTTGAAGTATATGGTCCTTCTGTTTCAGTAAATGGCTCTTTAGCAATTTTTATTTTAATATTTTCGAAAGACCTGGTTTTGTACAGGCCAAAAAGAAAGAAAAGAAAACATGCAAAGGGCTTTTCCCTATTGCTGAGTTTAAGTGCTATCTACATGTCCTTGAATCCACAAAAAACTGCGCCAGCACTTGAATATCCTGTGTCCATCACCATTCCCAGTTCTGCATCTATTGCCTCTCTGTTAGCTTGCTGCCAAATAGTGGTGCCTGAGTTCCTTATTTCCCACTCCCAGTTTCTATGTTCT